CATGGATGAACTCGCGGGTTAGCTTCCTTTCGTGGGCGCGAAACAGAATTCGCGGGCACTGGGCTGCAGTGGCGTGCGGGCATGTGCGACTTTGTTTAGCTCTAACTTTTTGCACACAACTCCGATTTGCACGAAACTTGGACCAAAATTCTCCTCATTGAATTCTCTTCGTCCCAGTATGGCTTGGTCGGATTTTTCGGGTCGGACGGCTCTCTCCTCGTTCTCGACATGTTGGGACCTATTCAACACCAAAACAAAAGAGAAAACGCGCAAAAATACGAAAACACTATATAATAACAAAAATACACAAAACACGATAAAATAGACCGATCGATACTAAAACGAGCCTAAAACTATATAATAAAGCACACAAAACACATGAAAATAATGACAAATACACAATAAACAACTCCCACACACTTAACTCTTTGCTTGTCCTCAAGCAAACAAAATAACAAGTAGTTCGAAAGGAGAAATCGAACGGTCCAAGATTGACAAACATGCATCATGTAACTCTCATTATCATCCGGTTATTCACAAAACTCAACTCAAATCCGAGGGTACGGTTTCCACATATGAACTCAACAAAATGAAAACAAGCCCAAATTATTCAACCATGATTCACTCAAGTCAAGCTCCCTTTTCACAACAAACACGTGCAAAAAACTAAAAATGGTCAACTCAATATGCAAGATGATAAAAACGAGACCATGAGCCAATTCCCTATTTTCTTTTTTTTTTATATATATACATGAGTTTCTTTTTCCAAATGAGAGCCGTTAAGAAATTATTACCTAGGTTTATCCTCGGGGGTTATCCCCGAGTTTCCTAGGCAGGTTTCCCGTACTCCTTAACACGGTTTATCTAGAAGACTAACCGAGCCAAGAGGAGCCTAATCCTTTCGACTCTCACGAACTCATTTCCGTGAGCTTCTCTTTCCAAAACGAAGTTTTCGGATGAGATGATATAGGTTTAACCTCGAGGTGTTTTCTCGAGTTCCCTAAACTGGTTTCCCGAACTCATTATCCCAATCCACGAAGTGGCTCGGAATAAGAGGAGCCTAATCCGTACTTCCTCGCGAACTCAAATTTCATTTTATTTTTTTTTTTAAGGGGATGACGCACAAGAGTACATCACATACAATAACATAGTCATAACAATCCAATAAAGACATAACTCAAGTGTATAGCATAACACGTTTACACATCATCAAGCACAAGGCAAGCATGACCAAGATCATCAATCAAGAACGAACAAAGGAAAAGAAAGTTTCGTGAATCCACATATGAGTTCCAATGCCAACAAATAATCATCTCATTTTATGAAAACCGTCAAAATCTATCATTGAGCACATAAGGCATGAGAGTTATTAATAAAAATGATCGACAATCCAAACTGGCCACTTAGTCATTTGCACTATTGGACTCACATGAAGTCTCATATGAGGAAATCTACACAGAACACAATAAAAACAAACAAAACCGGTCCACGACTCAATAAAAATGAAAAAATAAAGCACCAAAAAATGAAGAAGATATCACCTAAACATGCATAATCACGAAATCCCTCCCCCACACTTAAAACAAAGCAATGTCCTCATTGTTTGACCAAAAAGCATAGGAGAAAGCACATAATCATGTAAGTTCATGCTATGAAAACGAAAACGAGACACAAATATCAAACAAACGACGTAAAGACAAACAAGAAGACACACAAGAAACAACAAAAGAAAAAGAAAATAAGAAAAGAAAATGCATACTCTACACGGTGTGGCCACCACCGTGTGTCGAATGGTGATCATCCGGTGGGAATAGAGCAAATCATCTGAAAGCCATCAAGGTGAAAATAAAGCCATCCAAATGATTGAAAAATCAAAGCGTATCGACCCATAAGCCATCCGGGCACTATGACATGCAAAATACAA